CCAATAAGCCACCAGAAAACTGGAAGTGGCGCTGTGGCTCAAGTGGTAGAGTGCTAGCCTTGAGCTGAAGAGCTGAGGGACAGCACCCAGGCCTAGAGTTCAAGCCCCACAACAGACCCCACCCCCACAAAAAAAGAGTCCTGCCTGAGTTAGCTTCAAACTGTGATCCTCACATCTCAGCCTCCTGAGTAACTAGGATTACAGGTGTGAACTCTTAGCACCTCATTTTTAAAGGTGTAGCTCAGTCAGGCTGGTCTTGAACTTGGGATCTTCCTGCTTTAGCCTCTTTGTTGATTACTGACAATACAGGCATTTAAAATCCACACTCCAAGAATGCCCAGAATTTGCTACCCATGGGATCCCAGAAGATGGTAAGTTCTTGCCTTCAATGTTAGTTTCCTCTAAGTTAAACACACTGTGTATTCTAACCCCTCCGCTGGGAAAAGGGAGAGAGAATGACTACTAAAATATCCTTCTAGCTAACCTGCCACAGTTAATAATTCACAGCCCTCCAGGGGTCCTTGGGGCTCCTCTATCCCGAGGCTTTATTGCTGTAAAAACTAGAAAGTTCTGATCAGCACTTGATGAGCTCTAAATGGCTCTGGCCCTCTGCCCTGTCTATCTCCCACACGCTCGTAAAACATTTATCCCAGCGTTTCATCTGAACCTTGACTTAATAAATTCCTTTAAAGGTATGCAGACTTCACAGGCTGCTTCTGCGAGTGCTGCTGAGGCCAGAAATCAGGAGGAGAACAGGGAGGCCACCGTCAAACAGACTCAGGCCAGGGACAGGGACAGGGAAAGCCACTGGGGCTGAAAATGCCAGGCACAGAGTCAGTTAATGAGCTACAAGAAAGGCAAGGTAAGATTAGGACAGAGGAATGCTGAAGCTGCAGTTAAAAATGGAGACCGTGGTGGAGAAAACACTGATTGAAGAAGCAAAAGCACAGGGATTTCACCGTAATTCTGCCATGAACTTGAGGTCCTTAACCAAGTTATCTGGTTGGGTCTTCATTTCATACTCAAGAAAGTGAGGTGGTAGGAAGGTACCAGTGGTTCACGCTAGTAATCCTAGCTACTCACTGGGTAGGAGGCTGAGATGTGAGGATCTCGGTGTGAAGCCAGCCTGGGTAGGAAAGTCTGTGAGACTTAGTTCCAATTAACCAACCAAAAGGTTCGAAGTGGAGCTGTGGCTCAAGTGGTAGAGTGCTAGCCTTGGGCAAAAAAGTGAAGGAACAATGTCCCAGGCCCTGAGTTCAAGCCCCAGTTCTGGCACAAAAATATAAAATTAAGTAAAGGAAGAAAGGAAGTGTTTACAAGGATGTGAGGAAGTTGGAAACATGATCTGTGGCTCATGGAATAGTGAGATAGTGCAGCCATCGTGGGGGAAAAAAACATGGCGCTCTTTAATAAACACACAATTCAGCAATGCCACTTCTGGGCAGATGCCCAAAATAATTGAAAGCAGAGACTGGAATAGATATGTGTGTATAGCTATGTTCTTATAAACATTATTCATTCTAGCTATTCTGTGTGTGTGTGTGTGTGTGTCCATGTGCCCGTGTGCCCCGGTGCCCATGTGCCAGTACTGGGGGTTGAAACTTTCACTCTCATTCTCATTTGGCTTTTCCATTCAAGGCTGGCATTCTACCACTGGAACCAAACCTCTCTGGCTTTTTGATTGTTAATTAGCCATAAAAGTCTTAGACTTTTCTTCTGAGGCTGGCTTTGAATTGCGATCCTCATATATTAACATCCTGAGTAGGTAGGATTACAGGCATGAGCCACAGAGCCTGGCTTGGATTCCATCCTGAAAAGCTTGGCTTGCCAACCCTGGTGCCCTCTACAACTATCACCAGTGTCTACATGTGACCTGGTGGAGGTATTGGCAAGAAGTGGGAAGTCTAGATGGTTCTCTATTTCTGACCAGTAGCGCAGAATGCTGTTGTTTGTTGTTGTTTTGTTTTGTTTTTGTCAGTGGTGTGGCTTGAACTCAGGGCTTAGACACTGTCCCTGAATTGTTGTTCTCAAGGTGAGCACTCTACCGCTTTTAGCCACAGCTCCACTTCCAGTTTTCTGTTGGTTCATTGGAGATAAGACTCTCACTGCCCAAACGGGCTTTGAACCACAATTATCCGATCTCAGCCTCTTGAGTAGCTAGATAATAAGCATGAGCTACCAGTGCTCAGCTTCAGAGTGGTAGGATAGCAGGCATGCCATCTACCATGCTCTGGAACATTCCACAATCTCACCTGTCCACTCTACACTCCTAGGTTTATTTTCATAAGACTGTGGGTACAATGTGTACCTTTCTTGCAAAATGATATGTACTGAGGAATTTCAGGTCTGGACATGGCACGAATGTGGTCTTCCTTGTCTCTGAGCAATTCTCTGAGGTCGTTAGTATTAGCTATATTTTACAGATGAAAAAACTGAATGTATGAGAGGAAAAGCAACTACCAAGTAGTAGAGCCAGGGGGTGAAAATGTGGCTTAGTGGTAGAGTGCTTGCCTAACATGCATGAAGCCCTGGGTTCAATTCCTCAGTACCACATGCACAGAAAAAGCCAGAAGTTGCACTGTGGCTCAAGTGGTAGAGTGCTAGCCTTGAGCAAAAGAAGCTCAGGGACAGCACCTAGGTCCTGAGTTCAAGCCTCAGGACTGGCAAAAAATAAATAAATAAAAAATATATATAGTAGAGCCATTTCTGGCTCTATAATCTGAAAATTTCACAGAAATATTCAGTGGCTGGGCATTAGTGGCTCATGCCTGTAATCCTAGCTAATCAGAAGGCTAAGATTTGAGCGTCAGTGTTTGAAGTCAGCCTGGGCAGGAAAGTCCATGAAACTCTTATCTCCAATTAACTGTGGAGGTGTGGCTCAAGAGGTAGAGGATTAGCCTGGACTGAAAAAAGCTGAGGAACAGCTCACGGGCCCCAAGTTCAAGCCACAGTACAGGCACAAAGAAAGAAAGAAAAAAAAGGAAGGAAGGAAAGAAGGAAGAAAGGGAAGAGAAAGGAAAGAAAAAGAAAACAAAGGAGGAACAATGGTTTTTAAATGGCAAAAGCCTTCCCCATGTATGTCACCTTTATAATAACAATAATATATAATATATATATATATATATATATATAT